CCACCCCGCATGCTGCAGCCAGGCTACTCCAGCTCCATCTTAACTCGGAGCCATCCCCTGAAGGCCCAAACTTTACCGGCTGCCCTTTGCTCAAGGGTAGTGACCACAACCCCACACCCTTGACGTGCCATCAGACTACCTACAGCTCGCTGTGACCACCTCCTGCTCCCAAAGCCTCAGCCAGAAGCTGCGAAGGGAGCGCAGCGGCAGAGGAAAGCCCTTCACTCCCGCCATGTCTGCTCCCTGGAACAGAGGGGTGGACGGGAAAGCAGCTACACCCCAGCCTGCAGGCCTAGCAGAGAGCGTCCCCTCCCCTCCACGCTGCCCACCTTGTCGTGCTTCTCAAACAGCCGCTGCAGGAACTGGTAGCCTAAGTGGTTGAGCTCCGTGGAGCAGCCGGGGGGCAGGCGGAACCTGCCGGGAGAGACCCAAGTGAGCAGCTCCAACGCCTCCTCGAGCCCTGAATGAAGGGCAGCATGCCAGTGGGTCCTTGGCTGAGCCAGACCTCACCCGGAGCACACAGCTCCCCACTCCCTCCCTGCCCACAGCCAGCGGTTGTCTCCAGGCCCGGCTCTTCCCTGACACAGCCCCTCGCTTTGGGGAGAAGGCCTCGAGGGTGCACAGTGGCCTCTCCTCGGCACCTCCACGCTGCCCAAGCAGCCAGGGAGACGATGCAGCCCTCGCTCTGCCTCGTGCCCAGGGCTTCAGTAGGGCACGGCACTCCCCTCGGGGTGCTTTCCACCAGCACGGGCCCTGTCGCCTCTCCACGCAGCCTGCTGTGTGGGAAGAGGATGAGGCAGCTCACAAGCCAAACCCTTTCATTACTGCCAGATCACCACCTCCGGGGCGGCAGGGAGCAGAGGAGAGACAGCAGCTGCGGAATCAGCCGGGAGGGCTGTGCTGACAGCTCGCTGCTCCCGACAGCCGTTCTGCCTCAGCTCAGGCAGAGACAGAACAGCCTTCAAAAGCCCCTTGCTGATGTCAAGGGAAGTCAGGGACAGACCTTCATTCCCCACCTCAGTGCCCGCCTACATCAGAGCCAGTGGCACAGCCGGCAGCTCCAAGGCCCGTCGTATTCATCACCAAGCCCGTGGGTCAGCTCCTGCCCTCAGGGGAAGGTGAGGAGCATGAACCTGACCGTGAGCCAAGGGCGCAGATTCAGCCAGGCAGACCCCAGAGTGCAGAAAGGAGCCAACAAAGGTGCTGGAGAGCCCAAGCTCTCCCATGTGACATCACCACAGGGACGTCACACCCTGCCCACCCCACTCCATGGCAGGATACGCACTGTGGGTAAAGATAGTCATCCGTCAGCTCCAGCTCGTCGTCGTAACCAAAGCGGCGAAGGATGGTCCAGGTGGTTTCGTGCCGGCCTCTCTGGATGAAGAGGGTGTTGAGGAAGAGGAAGCCTGCAGGAGAGATCAGCTGGCTCAGACACAGTGGAGCCAGCCGAGCACTCATCCTCAGGGATCCACTCCTCGGGATCATGCTTTCCCTGGGAATACAGGCTGCTTGGACAGAGAGCTCTAGTTGCCACAGCAGGCTCAAGCTTGCTTTGACAAGAGGGACTAGTTAGGCTTGGAAGGAGAGCCAGGAGGCTCAGCCCAAGGACAGGGCCCCTCGTAACGTGCTGAAGGAGATGGGTCGCTCCTGGGCTGTTACCGTTCAATGTCAGGCCGTTGTCCTGCACCCCATCTGTGGTGTTCTTCCACACAACCATCTTCACATCCTCCAGGGCCTGGGGAGCCAGTGGGTTTCCAAAACAGGACTTCTACCTCCCAAGAGAAAGAAGATCATCATCAGCAAAGCACAGACAGCACAACCCTCGGTCTCAGCAGCATCCCTCTCCCCTGGCAAGCAGATGGTGTTTCTAGGAGAGAAAACCCACCCAGCTCGGGGATTACTGCCTTAGACCCTGACCAAATGGCTGTTCCTCCCATCCCAGTAACACATGACTCAACATTTCCAGAGCCCCCGGCTCTTCCCACTGCAGAGCAAACTCAGCCCAAGCTTAGTGAAGATGGAAGACCTGTGGATGCCCACGTGCTCAGAGATGCACCCTATGGAACTTTAGCTGTGCTGAGTGCAGCAGAACGGCTATGTCAGGAGAGGGGCAGCGTTTCTGCCTGGTACTGGAAGGAAAGGGGACCCCAGGGACTGGGGAATACCTCAGCCCCCACAAGGGACTAGGGAACACCTCAGCTCCACAGCCAGCCCTACCTGGAAGTAGTTGAGTTCATCATCACTAAGGATCTGGTTATTATCTTGGTCCGAGAGGTTGAAAATCCGGGTCAGCGCTCGTGCACACGCAGGTTTCAGCTGCAAGGGACCAACCATGGTGACAAAAACATGGCAGTGCCTTCAGCCTGCCTCCTGAAACCCCATCCACGCGCAGAGGGGTTCCCTTCCTGCACTGGCTGGGAGCACGGTCCAGCTAGGCCAGCACCACAGACACCTAGGAGCTAGGACTCAGAAGCAGGACAGCCCACAGGGAAGGTTGCTCCTTGATCCTTCCCACCATGGCTAACACATGGTCTGGAGCACGGGGGCTTCTACCCCAACATGCCTCCAGTCCTTGCAGAGCTCTCTGGCCTGGATATACTCAGCTAGCTGTGCTGAGAACAGGAGACAGGCATGTTCCCCTCTGTCGGTACCGCTTTCCCCTTGTTCTGGCTGCCTCTGCCCAAACTCATCACCCCCAACCCAGGGGCGAAAGCACAGCAACACACCAGAGTGCTGTGATGGGAAGGAGAGTCCTACCTGCTTCTCCTCTGGGTCGTAGAGGGGGGCGGTGGGGTGCAGCACAGCTTTCTGGGCATAGTAGAAGAGCTCAGAGATGTTCTTGAGGTTCTTGGCAGAGCACTAGGGATTCAAAGGAAGAGACAGCCCTGTGAGCAGGGACAGGCGATGGGCTGGTAACAAGGGGCAGGAGGAAGATGACACGAGCTCCCCGAGCCAGACAAATTGTGCATCAAAGCACAGAGCAGTATCTGTCCGCTGCTAAGAAAAAAAACAAAAAGGGAAACCTCCTGCTCAGACTGCATCTTTGCTGCGCCCGCTCCACAGCCCCAGAGCCAGCGGGGGCTGCATGTACCTCCATCACCAGTTACAGCTGGAGAGATGGAGTGGGCAGGCACCGAAACCTACTCCCTGCAAGGGAGGCAAAGGACACAAAGCCTAAAAAGCACAGGCCCTCGAGACGGGGGTACTTCTGCAGAGCAACGCTAGCAGGGCAGATCTCCACAAGCAGGAAGGCTCCCTGACTCATGCCAGACTCCTACCCCTCAGGAAGGCTTTGCAGAAACCCTCCGGTTCCCTCACCTCCACGCAGGTCTCGATCTCCGAGAACTGGTTCATGATGGGCAGGATGACATCCATGGAGCTGCCCACCTGCAGGTCAGACTTGTTTCCCACTAAAATAATGGGGATCCTGAGGAAGAAAGACAGAGCGTCAGAGAGCACGAGCGAGGCCACCCCTCTCTCGGCCTCGGCGCTGCCCCAGCCACGCGTGCTCCCAGGGAGCAGGACGAGGAGCCCCCCGACCCTCCTCTGCAAGGTCCACAGCAGCTTTCCTGCCTCCCACGGCTGGGAGCATCCATCTGGAGAAACAGACGGCCTGATCCCGCTTACGCTTTCACCCAGCAACAATATGTTCAGGAGACTTTAATCCAGCACAGCAGCCTTCTGCCTAAGCAATCCACACACAGACTGTGGCTTCTGTGCTCCCGTACTCCCTTGGCAGCCTTCTCTCCCTGCCTGGCTGAAAAGAGATCAAGGGGGGGAAGGAACCCTCTCCTGTGGCCCTCTGCCTCAGCTAGATCGGTGAGGGGGGGGAAAAAACCCCCCATGTCCTTCTGCTAGAAGTGGTCTGGCCACAAACCGCAAAGCTGGTTTGGTCTGAGCAGCCTCTGCACGACACAAAGGCCATGGGGACCCTGCAGCCTCCAGAATTTCCTGATTCTGCACCCGCGGACCACGCCGCACGCGGTACCTGGAGCCCTTTTCGACTCCCCCGTTCACCATGGGGATCCACTTTGTGCGAATCTGAAAGGCGAGCAGAGGGAAAGTCCCGTCAGTGCAGCCTGGGAAGGGAGAGGCAGCCCCTAGCACAGGCGCCGCGGCAGTCAGCAGGGCCCTGCA